TCAGAAATTATTCTGTCTACTAGCCTATGCTCTTGACTTGACTTGGTAAAGCATAAATACTGATATTGGCAGCACTCAAGATAATTATAGCTTACCTAAGTAGAATGAGTCCATAGCTGAAAGTTGTTTGTACAAAATCAATGAACTCCAAATTAAAGAAAACAAAACTAAAAATACAGTATCACTATGGCAAACACAAAATCACCTTATCTTTCCAGAGATTGTAAGATGAAACAAGAGTGGTAGGAGTGAATTCTTACTAAGGATAAATCACAAATCCACAAATTAAGAGTTTTTGTTTTTGCTTTAGTTTAGCAAAAGTTGCTATATCTTATCTATTTTCACTAATATAAGAATTCATGATATTGCCACACCAGATGGCACAAAGGAAGATTTGCTTTCAAATTATTACTTATGAGACTAATGAGAGATACTTAAAATTATGTTACCATAATTTTCTTTGGCCTTTTTTCATGTATACCTGTATATGCAAGTTGCTTTATAGAATTGAAATTATAAATGTATGTGTAATTCTATTTTCTATTTTTTCCTGCATACTGATTATATTGATTATTGCCAAATTCATTGCCTGGTCTTCAAATCATCATTTAATATCTGTCATTAATGTAAGAAATTAAAAAAAAAAACTTTTCAGATTATTCTTACTTATCTGAGCCAGTACATCTATATACATAAAAGGCTATCCTATCTAATAATAGAGAAACGTGGTAATTAACTGTAACTTCGCTACCCTTCCCATTGTCTAATCAGTGAGATATGCAAATTTACTACCAACCAAGATGGCGGCCGGAAGCCAGGCAGCTGAAGCGAACAGGAAGCTTGCTTGCTCCAGTGATGGAGGAAGCCAAGGCTCCCCACCTGCTCCTGCCAGCCTCTGAGCTTGCACTCTAAGAAACAATGTTGCAATTATAGAAGCTAAACAAAACCCAGAAACCTACTTTCAGCCGGCCGGCCTCGGAGCTGGAGCTGAAAGAGTATTTCAATTAAGAAACCCAAACAAACCCAAATCAGCAGCCGAGGTCTCAGAGCTGGAGCCGAGCCTCAGAGCTAAAGACGGCTCTCAGTTCCAGTGACAGCCATAGAAGGTAAATAAATCCCAGAATAAAAAATAAAAAAAGGAGGGGTTGGGAGCTCCAGTAGCCCGCCAGCCTGAAAACGGCCCTCAGCCCCTCACCCAGACAGGCCAGGCATCACAGTGGGGACCTCCACCCTGAAGGGGATGTGACCAGCTGCAAGCAGGCATCATCCCC